CGGGGCTCAATGTCTCCACGGCCCGGTCCTTGACCAGTCTCCTGACCTGTAGGCCTCTTGGCTGACTTTTCCACAACTGTTGTCTAACTCCCGGGTACCTATTTACTGCTTGGTGAACAGAGGAACCAGGTGTGTGCAAACGTGCCCACATGTTTTATACTCTCCCCGGAAGTTTGGATCTCATGTTAACTAGAAATGATAGGAGAATTGAGGTAACTGCGGAATTTATCTATCCACTACTCATTCATATATGACTAACCCAACCTAAACGTGACTCAAAGACGACGTTAGCCTATTGTATAACAGTACCTGGTATATTTATATATCCTAACTTCTATTTACAAAATATACAGATAAAATGTATATTTATTAAATCCAATCGTACGCAAAGCGATCACTTTACCTTACATTATTCTTCACTCCCAGAGCTCCAGCAGTAGACGACAATTTCCACGCACCTGAACATAAAATATTTTCATTAACATGAATGAAGATGAGCATAAATTTATTTTAGTTACACACAATTACTCTTATTAGCATTTGCAATTCAACAAATGCACTAAATATTGAGGCCAAATTGAATTAAAATATTCCAGGTAAAACTATTTTACAGCCTAATATAACATTACACTGCTGTAGGTGTTGCCTCCCGAAAATCAGTGTATGCCATCCCCCACCCACCCGGCCCCTCCTCTGGCTTACCTGGAAGATATATGGTGAAAATAGTGAATTAAAACTATCTTTTGTCGATATTATAAAACCCCTAAGCAAAGGCACAACTTACCAGGGTACACTTCTTTATTACAAGTCAGTAATTATCAAAAGAAGACACCAAGCCGGAAAGGCTATGTAGCACCATTTCTTTAGTATATCCCCATCTTAAACCTACTACCACAACTCGCTTGAATTCGCTCAATGTTCGTTCCAGTCATTTGGTCAATACCACAGTTGCACTAATTTATCTACCTTACAACTCAGACTCTTATATTACAGCAATTTTCGAAATTATTGATATTGCTAACTAGATCTCTTGCAATGACATATCGATTATATAGACTATAGTCTACACTAAACTATATTACACACGCATCACACATTGTCTATATCTCCCATTTTAGCTACATTTAACACCCATCCATTACGGTTTAAATAATCACTTACTAATCCATCTAATTTATTCATTAATGTTAACCAAATAATTGTCATTTGTCGAGAACATGAAACCACTTATCCCTCTATCTACAGACCTTCACCAAGGTTATCTTGAGGTTATCTTGAGATGATTTCGGGGCTTTAGTGTCCCCGCGGCCCGGTCCTCGACCAGGCCTCCACCCCCAGGAAGCAGCCCGTGACAGCTGACTAACACCCAGGTACCTATTTTACTGCTAGGTAACAGGGGCATAGGGTGGAAGAAACTCTGCCCATTGTTTCGCGCCGGCGTCCGGGATCAAACCTGGGACCACAGGATCACAAATCCAGTGTGCTGTCCGCTCGGCCGACCGGCTTCCCAGGCTTCACCAAGATGCAACCCACAAGATATCTAACTCTGGGTTATACCTATTTACTGCTATACGTGAGCAGCAAGTGAAAAGGCACCGCGTCAACCGGTTCTGGCCCGACTTAGGTACCGAACCCGGGTCCCTTGGTTGTGACCGAGGAAGAAAGACCACTACAATAAGACCCATTCTTATCTACTCTCCAACTGCGCTAATTTCTCAATTCATTCGCCATCCCCACGTACCTACATGCGTCAGAATGGGTCTTAGGTTCTAATTTGGTGTCTGCCTTAAGGCCTGTTAACCCCAAAATGCCTATTAAGGTCACCAGCCGGCTCCTTGGATACAATTTTGCTATGACGTCCAGCAGACAACCACGGCTATATTACCTTCCATATTTACAATACCAATAGTGATAACCCGATAGCATACCCATACAGGAACATAATTAACTATATTTTAACCGGATAATTGCATATAGGGCTTGTAACATGGCCGTATACTCACAGCTCAACAGCGGTGACCTTATCCGCTTGCTTCCAGGGCTCCAAATGGCTCCTTTATTTACGGTTGAGTGGGGGGAGGCCGGATGACCCACTCACCCTCGGGGTCAATTATATTCAAGCTGGCAACTGGTCATTCGGTTAAGAATCTCACCAATAGAGGACGCTAAAGCTTCCTCCTACTCCTCCATATATAAATAAGCCGTTGTTATAATTATAATTATTGCAAATTATTAAGCACTTTAATGGTATATACGGATAATTTCTGAATTTATATTCAGATTATATATGTGTATTATATACAGTAGTTTTAAGGCTAGCATGTATGGTTTAAATTTCCGTATATACTTCTATTATTTTTGTAATGAAGATATTTGTTGTTCAATTAATTATTTTGTCTTATAATAAAGATCATTATTACGATCATTATCCCTATCTGCGTTGAGAACTTTGGTGATATCTTGGCTGTATTGTTAAAAAGAAAGTATGCATTAAAATATTATGGTAATCTTATTTCAGCAGTGTAATGCAATAATCAAGATTTATGATTCAACTTCACATAGAGGAAATTAGTACAAAATAGCCCTGAATCTCTCCTGACGCATATATTAATAATAATAGGCACTTTAATATCACTTAAACTGAATGTGTGAAAATAGCCTATTACATTACTTGACCGTTTTTAACTTCTTTTTAGTTCCCAAAGCTGCAAATATACGTTTTGGGGCCATAAAGGATATGATGTTACTGGTTATTAAATGTAGAACCGAGAAGAGTAGATGCCTTTTCACCCACAGGGTTATAAACCCATGGAACCGCCTACCCGTCGAAGCCGTAAAGGCATTAAACTGTATTAAAGTTATAAAATCTACCTGTGAAAGAAAGATCATCAAGGCAAATGGAGGGGGGGGAGGGACCTTCGACAAGCCACCGGCTTCATGTCCTCATCGATGCCACTAGAGTTAGTGGCCCTCAGGGAAATCAACTCTCTCTATAATATGTGATATCTTCAACTGAGTTTGATCCCATAAGCTTCCTTTTAGAGGATGACGTACTGCATCTTGTATTGTCCAGAGGGATAGAGTCCAAAGGGATAAAGGGATACGGTCCAGAGGAATACAGTCCAGAGAAATGTGTCCACAGAAATACAGTCCAGAGGGATAGAGTCCAGAGGAATACAGTCTAGGTGGATCAAGTTTAGAGGGTTACAATCCAGAGAGGTACGACTTCCTCAATCCCTTACATAACTCTCAGCAGAAACAACCAGTCTGAAGTAATATATTACCAAGATCAAAGGTATTTTTTGTAATAATTTGAGGATATGAGGTTGACTAGGCAGCCAATGTCTTGTTAGGAATACATACAGAACGAATGCCAAAAAGCATCATAGAGTATTATAAAATTAAATAAAAAAAAAGACCTTAAATATAAGGATGACTAGAGCCAGATTATTTGGCAGTTTTGTAACATTTTGTTGGGGGTTTACAACATAATATGTTGCATAAACAATTAATGTTGTTTTGCAATATATTATTCTGAGCATTTGCAAAACAATAAGATACCACCAAATGCATACCAATATCTTTCACCTTGGTGACAAAATTGAAAGCTAGAGATATGGAAGGTGGTAACTAGAAATCCTCAAAGGAATCAGATCATGGAGCTAAACACAATGCTTTTGTATTAATCACTTTGGATGGGCAGACACGAGTAAATACCCCTCAGAATAACACCCCTTGCTATTACCTGTTCATAATTTTGAGACTTCGTCTGCTTGTCGGCACAGTGAAGGTGTTGCAAACCGTAACGTGTTGAAAGACTTCTTGCAAATCGGTGTTCAATCCCAGACGGTCCAAGTGGTTAGGCACTGTACATTCCCTCCGTCCTATCCTGGCTCTTGTCCTCGTATCCCTTCCAATTGCCATGTAGTCATATTGGCTTAGTGTTTTCTCATCACCTTACCGTATCTACCTCCTCCTACCCCCAGCTTGGCCTGTGGGCCAGTCTTTGCTCATAAGTGCCTCAGCTATGAGACAGACTGGTCTGAAGGCTCATATAGCCAACGTGATAATGTTATCTATAGATTATAAAGATGGTAAAAGAAAATTAATGTTGACTGTTAGTGAAGGTTTAAGTTAACTGATGCATGCTAATTATTGCCAGCTTCATTGACTCCCTGCCTAATGCTAACTATAAATATAAATCTTCTGTGTCATTAACTTGTGACATAGTATATTATTATTATTGAGTATATTAACCATTTGTGAAAAGAAAGCAATCAAGGCAAATCGGGGACCTTCGACAAGCTGCCGGCTTCCTGTTCTCATCGAGGTCACTAGGGTTAGTGGCCCTCGGGTCAAAGGTAAATCATTTAACTCGCCATAAATATAAATATTTTGTCAAAACAAACACAGCAATTAAAAGTCATCCCAGAATGATGTCAACACTGATACCTGGAAAGTTTGCCTAACTTTGCAATTGTGTGTATGGTCAACGACAGAACTTCATTTGAATATTTTATTTTATACACTACTGGTATCATTACCCAGTTTTTTTAATTAAATTCAAAACAGGCCAATGGAGGTGGCATTGCAAAAATTAGTTTCAAAATAATTATTTTTAATAACATTACCCCATTAACTTGAACGTTACTCTCCTTAATTTTTTTATGGTATGCCTGAAACCCTATATATATATATATATATATATATTAGTGGTTTTATATATTGTACAGTACTTGTCTTCCCACTGAATCCTCCATTAATCATGCAACAAATGTATGTACCCTAGCATAAATAATTATGAATATTTTATTATTTTTATTTAAATTAGGCACCAAGCAACAAACACCGACTCCATCTAAGTGTCCATTTATATTTTGACAAATTACTAGCTGCTATTTCCTTACCCTAATCACATTAAATACAAATAACTGTCATGCAGATGCAAAATCAAATATTTATCACAAAATCTTTAAAATAAAGGACACACACACAAAAAATGAACATGTGCTTGATGAAGTATTTTATTAAGAAACTGATAGTTACAATACTCTAATGTACAATACCATGGTTATATCCTAAATACAAGCACAAAGAGTGGACACTGTGCTCAAGCCTATTGATTTTAAACATATCTGCTGAAATATACCGACTAATACATTACTTGGTCATTCTACTAACATTCACACACGTACACTCACATACAGTTACTTCACTCAGCCTTCAGAAATTCCATCAATTCAAGTGCAAGTAGAGAAATGTTATCAAAGAAAAATGTGATTCCTGACAGTGATATTCACAAATGGCGTTAAACGTACCCAATATAAAAATTACGATTTATGCCACCAAGAAAAATGCAACCCCTATGCTATTATCAGCAGGTAAATTTGAAAAAATACATTAATACAATTCATTGCATTAATTCCTTGCATTAAGAGACTTCCAGCCACTAGTAAAAACCTTGCAATTTGCAATACTGTACACAATCAATTTGGCGAGTCAAAATATTTTAACTATACAGTACTCTTAGTTTTAGTGCACAGCACAATTATAGAAACTACAGATTTTGGGCAATACTTATCGAGGGCTCGGGAAGGCCTCTGCTGAATTCCAGTATGGTACAGTATTATAAATAAATCGTTACAAAGATAAAAAAAAATAAAAAAGGAGTGGTGTTCAGAGTAGAGTACAGGACTTCAGAGCCTGCATGACGAAGGTCGCAGTAAAGACACCGCAAACTATAGAACAAAGTAACGGGGATTTTAGAAGAAAGCAAACAGAATGACATGGGGGGAGGGGGGTGAGGGAGGGGGGGGAAGGGTTAGGGGAAATTTCAGCATGGATAGGAAGGAAAGGGAGGGAAGGAGGGAGGTGTTGAGAGGACCACAGGACGGATCTCTGGACTGGCTCACTAACACTTCAGATATATCTTATTTCATTGAAACCATATTCTTTATTGTAGGTCATTTGACATTTTATCTGTCTCCAGTGGTATCTATACAACACTTAGCATGCAAGCCTCATATATTATGTATAAATACAGATTTTGTGTGTATGTATAAACACATCAATTTCACATTTATTCCTTGTCTGTCTACTGTACCACCACTGCTGCTGAACTTTAGAAAGAGTTAATACATTATGTTACAATCCTTATTGAGTATTATATTTTGTTTGTGATCACAATTAAAATATAATTCAAAGTGGCACAGATGACTTCGGGAGAGTGTTGTGTCAAGGTAAATGATCAATATTTCATCTTCAATTTTTTTTCATGTGCAACATAATAACAGGTCCTGCTAATTTTTTTGTTTCCCTACCGAGTTCAACCCACCAGTGATGGCTCATTTACCTGTTAACTCCATATAAAAACATTTAATGTCAATGTAACTAGATATCCATAAATATTTGGTGGTATGCAAAATTGCAGGTTAAAAGAACAATATTTTAAAGCCAGGGCAACTGCTTTATCTGGTGTACAAAACTTTCAACTGCATTAAGCACATTTACCGCCAACTTCTAGTAATAAATGAGCAATTATGTCTTTCAACCTCCAATTCTCAAAGCCAACCACAGCCTAGCAACCTCAGACGTTAAGGCCAAGCACTTCTTACACACAATTTAAATACGCTTTCACGACACCCATGCAAAAACATTCACACATTTTTTTTATCCATACACAATCGCATTTGTTTTATGCAATATAAATTTTCCAGCGACAAATTAGACATATAAATGACAAAAAGATTTTCCGGCATTTTGCTTCCCTCGGTGATGATAAACTATGACGATACTTTCATTCAGAAAAAACAGTTTGATTTACTGTTCACATTAATAATTTAGATGCATAGTCCATTACCACCTAATAGAAACAAGGAATCATATAACTACTGTACACTGTATATCACAGTTTAAACCTAATGTCCCTATACAGAGTCAAATGACAGAATAATTAACTGCCCAAGCAAGTTAATTATCAACGTACCAAATTCAAGTATTTGCAGAACATTAATAATCACTGTAAATAAAAACATTAACCACCTACAATTTGTCAAATACACCAAAATTGGATCAACACATCCGAATACACGTTTTACCTCATTTATAAAAGTGCAACAAATAAAGCCGACAGACTTTTCATTAAACCACTTTAGATAAAAAGAAAAATAACAATTGTGGCTCGACAAGAGAAATTCCCATTGGGAATAGAATATCTTATGTAAATGGAAGAAAGATTTATTTATAGAACCATTTAAACAATACTTATATAGGTTCTAAAAAAAAAAAAAAATTGTTCACAAGATGTCAATCTTTGGTTACATGCTGATAAACAATTCACCGGATATTAAGTGTCCAAATACTCGACTATTAGAAAAATATATTAATAAATTGCGTGTATACATTTCTCGATAAATTATTTTGGAAAATGAAAGTATACCAATATTTGAATGAAAACAATGGTGAGCATCTGCCAAATTTTAATGTCGTAAAATGGACAAAAATTCTATTACAGTATAGCAAGTAACGGCTGAAGCTCACACCATACTAACGGTCACAGTAATACATGCTCCCTCTCAATACATGATGTGGCATGGTGCCCCACACCTGTGGTTTATATGTGACTGTGTCTGCAGTTGTAGTGGTAACCAACTGGGCTTAAAAACAAAACAACAATGAATACAGTCTGTATCCTTGGCATGTGTATGTGTGTGTCTAGATGTTTGTATACAGCTTATCATGACACAAACAAAACATGCCATATATGCTACGGTTTGACAGGTTGTAAACCAATGACTGCAAATGGGAATTTTAATTTATAACTCAACAAATAGCTTGTCTATACCAAACTTACAGGGGGATGTGTATGAAATCACACTGCCTTCTATCTTAGAATATTCATTCACTCTTTAATAGACATTTTTTTTCCTACACGTACACATAAAAGACGTTACTGGTAGAAAAGCACACTGACGAAATTAAATTTGCTAAGTTTCTAGACTATCTACCACCTAGCCAAATGAAGTCTTAACCATATATCAGACTAGAATGGGCAATTTAATCCACATTTTCATAACCATACCAGCTTTTTAAACCTTATTAAGTAATTCAATAAGGCTCATCTTCTTGTATATACTTCAAAGAACGTGAACCTTACCGATAAACCTATTTAAGGATCAAAGTTGCCATCATGTCGCTTATAAATTGCCACATATAAATGTAGCAATCTATAATCTTCCCCTCCCTCTCTTCCTCGTCAAATGTGCACGTAGAATAAAATGTGTATAACTTGGCACTGAGAATGATACTGCTTATGTCCTGTGTAAAATATCTGATGTAGCAGGTTGGTAGGAAATGAATGAAATTGATGTACTTTTCATTAAATGCATATCGGTTCATTGGCATTTATATACATTTGTATGGTATATTAATATACTCTTTGTTTCTGTTTAAAATGTGCATTAGTTTCATGTTGGAAGGAGGTCTATATAAATTTAAGTGTAATTTCAAAGCATTGTACTATAATTCATTGTTGTTATTTACTCACAATTTACGTAACTTGTGTTTAATTGTACAGACAATGAAACTAAATACCAAAAAGAGTATTTTCCAACCTACTTTTCACCAACCTATAAAAGGTGTGTGTGTGTGTGTGTGTTTGTGTGTTTTCTAGACAATCAAAATCTCCCTTAAGAAAACTATAATCAATGCAGCTTACCAAGAGGCATCATTATCTATGCTTAATTGAATACTGCACTAGCAGTCAACATTCCCACGGAACTATCCTGAGAACCTGGGCTGAATACTGTAGACCACTCAAGTTTCTAATTCTCTTCACCAAATTATATTCTTATATTCTGAACACAGTGGCACAATGACTGATATACAGACCAAAGATTCAAAGTCCTAACCATGATAACCCTCTACAAACATCAACATGGTAGAAATTCTATAAAGGGAAATATTCAAGATGCCTTTGTACTCGTAAGCATAGGACAATCTCCGCCCGTCAAGACTCGCCATCTCCGTTCAATGTTACCTGAACATGATTGCGAGTCTCGCTGCGATGTCCTCACACGTATATACTTGTTTTCACCTCTGTGTTCAGAGAAAAAAAAAGTGGCAAACGTTACCAAATATTTTTTTTTTTGTAGGAAGTTTCCAATGTACATTTTTAGACAGGCAAATTCCCATATTTATATAAACAAGAAAGTAATAATTATACATTTCAAAAGTTTGATTCTATAATTTAATACAAATGAGATAGTTTGTATTTAAATAATGGCAAAGGGTTAAAAATTGCTGGATGTGTCACAACTCCTTTCCTGCAGTAAAGGACATTGGAAGCTTGATATTTTTTCCTGTATATACAAAAGACTTGAGGGGTATTCATGTACAGAAGATCAAGTTGTAAAAATGGCAACCTTGGAGAAACATTTCTGCACATAAAGTGTGAGCATGGAACAAATTATATAACCACACAACGCACCACGACTGTTGCCAGTCCTTGGATCTCCGCTGTGCATCAATCATACGACCTATACACCCCAAACCTAAAGCCGTCTCTTAGCGGGACTAACACCTTTGAGCCTCTACCTCTTACCTAGGATATATCTGTAGACTAGCACCTAGTTTACAGTTTCTTCTTTGGTTACAAGTAGGGACAAGGTATAAGTGTAATAGCACAAGTCTATAATGAAGGCAAATTACTAAATCCCACCATTCTAAAACCTGGAAGTCCAATACACCCCCCATATCTGACGCTGACTGCACAGACTCCCCACCACAATATTCACCTCTGAAATTGTGAGGGGCATCCACACTCGAGGAGCAAGGTTTCATCTTGCCCTCGACTTCCTCTTGTGTCACTGCAAACTGTTTATAGTTTAATTTGGCCACGTGAAAAATTGTGAAACGATCCGCAATTTCCTTGTTTCACACTGTTCATTCAATACACTTGCCATGCTATTTCAAGACCATAAAAGGAGTCTAAAGGATGAATCTCTAGGGCAAAACATGCCAATCCCATTACAAATTGGTAAAATATATATGTGTGTATATATATATTATATATATAGTCTACATGTTGGCCTTCAGACACACATTTAGTCACTGCCCGGGCAGACAAATTCTTATTCTTCTTCTTCAAGTACATGCTTGGAAATCTTAACAAATACGCCACTGTGCCAGGGAAGAGATCCATCCATCGCCCTCATACAAAGTTGTTGCTGCCATGTGTCAAAGGCTCAAGTGACTGAAAGAGAAGAAACTATCATCATTTTCACATTCAGAGAGATTGAATATATATATATATATATATATATATATATATATATATATATATATATATATATATATATATATATATATATATATATATATATATATATATATATATATATATATATATATTATATATATATATAATATATATATAGCCAAAAAGTCAGCCTATCACTCGACCACATGGTATAATCTATCAGATACTGTGCATTGACTATTCATTAAAAAAGCAGCAACTTTGCCATCAGAGGTTTGAACACATTTATTGCATCTTTATTTCCAAGAAGCCTATAACCATGATTTTTTTTTTTTAACAAAATAACCAAGTTACTCAAAATCTGACATGTTTATACAATAGTATACTGTAATTGAAACTTCAAAATTAAACAACAATGTTGAACATAAAATTAAATAAATAACATTATACTATACAGTATATACATAACCAATGACAATCTACACATAAATACAGCAAAAGAATGATCAAGTAAAAGAATCGCTAATGAAAAACATAATACACACCATTAACCCCTCAACCCCCAACCACACCCAATAATAGAAAGACAACACAATAATAGAAGGAAAGACAACACAATAATAGAAGGAAAGACAACACAATAATAGAAGGAAAGATGACAATAATAGAAGGAAAGACAACACAATAATAGAAGGAAAGACAACACAATAATAGAAGGAAAGACAACACAATAATAGAAGGAAAGACAACACAATAATAGAAGGAAAGACAACACAATAATAGAAGGAAAGACAGCACAATAATAGAAGGAAAGACAACACAATAATAGAAGGAAAGACAACACAATAGAAGGAAAGACAACACAATAATAGAAGGAAAGACAACACAATAATAGAAGGAAAGACAACACAATAATAGAAGGAAAGACAACACAATAATAGAAGGAAAGACAACACAATAATAGAAGGAAAGACAACACAATAGAAGGAAAGACAACACAATAATAGAAGGAAAGACAACACAATAGAAGGAAAGACAACACAATAATATAAGGAAACACAACACAATAATAGAAGGAAACACAACACAATAATATAAGGAAACACAACACAATAATAGAAGGAAACACAACACAATAATAGAAGGAAAGACAATGGCACTGCTCTTATATACCCCCCCCCCCACCATCCAGTCAATAATGAAAGGCCCAGGAAAGAGTATGATGAAATTAATGAAAACTTCCCAATGGTTACAGAACAGGCAAGGAAACCAAGGACAAAGGCCTTCGATTCTCTGAGCCTTCAACCCACAAGTAAATAAGGTGGGCAAAAAAGGGAGCCTCGTGGCGGGCAGGAGAGTAAATGTGGTCTAGCAACGAAACTTTAAGCGTAGTACTGGAACCAGGTTATCATTCAGTGCACATTCCATAGTGTGGATGAAATATGGAGGCCTGGTCAGACATATGACTGTGAAACAATTGTCCTCAGAACAAACTCAAGGTATACAGCAGATAAACAAACTTCCTGGGACAACACATTATGCAACGTTTTACATATTTGTCAAATGCATTTAAAGGTTTCTCATTTTGATTTTGACTTTATGACAAAAGTATTTTGGATTTTTCCCCGTCTTGTATGCCTTTTTGTTCCAGATTTCTTCAGTCTGGTATAAGAGTTTCAGCTTTTGGTTATTTCTTTAGATTAATTTTTGTTTGCAAAGATATTTGTGCCTCCTTTATCATTTCAGTGACTCTTTTTCCGTCTCCTGTAGGGTTTATCTTGAGGTTATCTTGAGATGATTTCGGGGCTTTAGTGTTCCCGCGGCCTGGTCCTCGACCAGGCCTCCACCCCCAGAAAGCAGCCCGTGACAGCTGACTAACTCCCAGGTACCTATTTACTGCTAGGTAACAGGGGTATTCAGGGTGAAAGAAACTTTGCCCATTTGTTTCTGCCTCGTGCGGGAATCGAACCCGCGCCACAGAATTACGAGTCCTGCGCGCTATCCACCAGGCTACGAGGCCGGGTTGTCCGAGTTCTCTCCCAAAAACTTTTTTTTTTTATCTTTTTGATCTTTTGGAAGGGCCATATTTTAACCAAATTTTGTACGCTTCGATAGTCGGTTCTTCTATTCTATGCAAGGCACTTCTGGTACTCAAATGTGGTTTCCCCATAGATTTTTCTTCTCTACCATAATTTGAAGTACCTACACCATATTATCTGTGGATTTTTAGGGTTCTGTGTATACAAGTTCCTTTATAATAGACCAACTACTTCATTTGACCTGTTTATTCAATTACATCTACAATATATTATAATGTGGTTTCTTGAGTATGAATTTCCGTGAATGGAAAACAAATTATGCTTAACTCAATTGGGAATCCATTTATGATTGGAATTTTGTTTCCAATTAAATAAGCATTGTTGGCATATATAACAATTTACATTTTTTTTTATTTCTGGGAGGTTTTCATGGGTCTATTACATCTTTCTCTCCAGTTCCAGGGTGTGAGCTAATTTTGTAATTTATTCATCCACTAATGATAACTACTGCTGTGAAGATATGGTAGTTGCTGTGGTGATTATCTTATCTTGAGATGATTTCGGACTTAGCGTACCCACGGCCCGGTCCTTGACCAGGCCTCCTTTTTGTTCCACATCTCCAGGAAGCAGCCCATAGCAGTTGTCTAACTCCCAGGTATGTATTTACTGCTATGTGACAGGGGCATCAGGATGAAAGAAACTCTTCCCCATTTGTTTCTGCCTCCACCGGAGATCGAACCTGGAACCTCAGAACTACGAATTCGAGACGCAGTCCACTCAGCAGTCAGGCCCACTAATGTAGATGGGCCTGGTGTGTAATGTATCTGCACTTAATGAATGAATGATTGAATGAATGACCAGCAAGGAATCTAAACATGTGCATTTCTGCCTCCCCCTTCCATATGCATCAGCATTTGTGCCTGGGTGAACCCAGTGTTTGTGGCTGGGTGATCCCAGTGTCTGTGCCTGGGTGATCCCAGTGTCTGTGCCTGGGTGATCCCAGTGTCTGTGCCTGGGGGATCCCAGCGTCTGCGCCCGAGGGATCCCAGCGTCTGCGCCTGGGCGATCCCAGCATCTGCGCCTGGGCGATCCCAGCGTCTGTGCCTGGGCGATCCCAGTGTCTGTGCCTAGGGGATCCCATAGATCCTGGGTAACCCATAGACACCTGCCTCTAGGTTAACCCACGACGCATACAGTATCATGGTCCACAGTCTAGGGTGCGCATGTCTGGGGTTACCTGGGACGCTGGTTCAATCCCCATCCTGCTTCAATGATTTCCTCATACAGTAGTTTACTCAATATCTGGATAAGCATTGCATTTAGAGATTTAAAACTTGATGTGACTTTTTAGATGTGGATTCAATTCATGCTGTAATTTCATTTCAATTCATACTGTAATATTAACAAAAAATAATTATTTTTTGGTTACCACATTTAACACAGACAGCGCAGCAACTTGCTTACAGGTGGCCAAAGACCAGTGTCCTCATTCCTATACTGCACAAAAAACATCATTTCAGTCGAGATGAAACCCAAGTTGGAGAAAAAGTCCTCTACATTACAGTTTAACAATCTGGTTTGTTCTTAAGCTTATAATTGCAGCTCTGTGTGTCATAGAACTGAATACTAAACTAAGTGTTCATACCAATCTATGGTTAAAAGAACAGGCAACAATGCAGGTTACAAGAGCAAGAGTTGACATGAACAATGCAGGTTACAAGAGCAAGAGTTGACATGAACAATACAGGTTATAAGAGCAAGAATTGACATGAACAATACAGGTTATAAAAGCAAGAGTAGATATGAACAACGCAGGTTATAAGAGCAAGAATTGACATGAACAATGCAGGTTATAAGAGCAAGAATTGACATGAACAATGCAGGTTATAAGAGCAAGAGTTGACATGAACAATGCAGGTTATAAGAGCAAGAGTTGACATGAACAATGCAGGTTATAAGAGCAAGAGTTGACATGAACAACACAGGTTATAAAAGCAAGAATTGACATGAACAATACAGGTTACAAGGGAAAAGTTCACATTCAATACTAGTTACCTACAATCATTTGCCCTGTGAGAACACTACAGCATTCATTATACGCTACAAAATATTAGCATGAATTAATTACAATTTAATTATAAAAACAGCCAAAAACTATGGTGATACAGATTAACACAAAAACTAAGTACTTGGAAATAAATAAAAAACATAAAATAAATACTGTGTAATTAAAATAAATAATAAACATTAAATATTATGGCATTTCCATACTCCTCATTCATCAAATAAAATAACAATTTCAAAGAGCAAAGATGCCAATACTTACCCAAAAACATGCATAAAAAGCAATTTACAATTTACAAATTGTAAATTGTCTTGAATTTACAATTCAAGACAATTTACATCATCTAAGCCTACCATAATTTACCTACGGCTTCAAGAAACAAAATTACCACAATTCCTGGACATGAAAATACTGGCCAATAATAATAACCCTATTTGCATTTATATTCTAAAAACCAATCTACATTATATGCCAAGTTACTCTAATCAGATTAAAGTCTGCTTCAGCCATACCAAAACAGTTTCAAAATCAACACTTTTATCAATATATTTCCATGCTTCCTTACCAACACTTTGGTATGGTTCACCTCATGGTTTCTCGTTGATGGAGACGGGAAGCTTGCGAGGCTTACTGAGGTTTCCCGAGGCCAAGTACTGATAATCTTCCCTTGGATACAACCCACAACAGTTGCCCAATTCCTAGGGATCGATTTAATGCTAAACGAACAGAGCATTAGGTAAAAGGAAATGCATCTAACCATGCCCGTCCTGCACAGGGATCGAACCCAGAGCCTCAATTATGAGCCAAGGACATATACCATTGTGCTACAAAACTTGCCAAGTTAGCCCTCAGTTGCAACACACAGTAACTATTTGGAGCAAGCAAGCATGTTGTGGCAAGTACTTGCTTGAAAACCAGATGATCTTGTAATATACATTGTGTATGGATTAGTTATGACAGTTTCCTAACACGTTATATTTATTCATCCCCCCCCTTTTTTTTTAGCTACAAAATAATATACCCAACCCAACATCACAAAACTATGAAGTGATTTCCAGTCATGTACAGTACTTGTTTCAACCCTTCTGCAAACCCCCAATTTGATTCTGCTGCCCCAGAAAACAAGCACACACAAGACAAGAGGAAAATGAAGGCACTACAAGCATACCTCAAGAAGCAACAACCACAATGTACCTCTGCTGTGGCTTACCGTCATTAGAATTTGAGCGTGTTAACCATTGGCTCACAAAGGCCCTATATGCGGTCAAGGTGGAGGGGGGGAGGAAAAGGTGCGGTTAGTGCATTGGTGTCAAGTGCCTCAGTATTGTATGGATTTGCGAATGATTTTATAACTGTTGGCCTTTTCAATACCAAAGATTAATTAAAATATTGTCATTATATTATAATGGCCAATCTAATTGATTGGCCATTATACTTAGACTAAATATGTGAAACAATCACTATAAATACTGCATTTCTTTAATACAGTAACTACATTATTTTTGCTTATAAATTATTTGGGTATAAAAATCATCCACAATTTCCAAAAAATTTAGTACAATAAGCAATAAGCCAGTGCATAAAAACGTGTTAGTATTCCACAACTTGTAATAAAAATCTTATATTTTGTACAGTAGTGAATCTCAACCAAATTAAAGTATTCAATACAACCTATTAATAACCCTTCATGTTGCAAACAGTTCAGTAATACTGTATTACAAAAAATATACATTTCCTGGTAATAGTTCCTGTCAGCTGCATTAATTTTAATGATATAATTTACCATAAAAACACAACAATTCTATCGGCTGTCTCGGCAAAGAATTGGTGAATGGGACCACACAGTTAGTCCTGTGCAGTGTTTTCAATTTACTGTTATGAACCTCTCGGACGTTGGTTCGAACCCTCGTCACGGCCCTTGTGGATTTGTTCAATGTTATGCTCAATATTGTGATTGAGGAATGATCAGTAGTGTCCACTCATCTTCAATCTCGATAATATTCATTAATAAGGTAGTAAAACCTGCTAGCTTTGGCAGCCAAAAATGTCTTTCCATGATCCGTATTTGCATCCTTGATTTACACAGCAGTTTCCTCAGTGGTCTAAAACTTGAACAAACCTATGCAAATTTTGTTTTTTATTCCTGGTTCTTCATCAACAAGTATCCTATCATAGTGTGTACCTAGCAAAAGAATGTTCCGATTTGTATCGAGTTTTACTTTTTATACTTGTTTGCAAACCAGTAACTAGTTCATTAATACCTGCACAATGCACACTATTATTGGTCTAATGTCTTAGTAATTTTCATACTCCTTTCCAGAGAGTGGTAGATGAGAATTTACCCTAAAATAGACATGTGCTATCGGTTTTAGCTTGTTTTTTACTATGACGCATGGAATTGCTCACCAGTCGAGGATGGTTAGGTTATTTAGCATCGTGTTTTCCCAGAACATAATCTGTTATTAGTTTTATATCCATACTGTATTCCCAATTATTACTGGGTGCACATAAGTGAAGGAATGATGTCCAACTGTTCCACCCTGGCCAGGGTCCTTACCAGAGTCCTCTCGTGAACATGAGGTGAAAGGGCTAACCACTACATCCCAAGATGACCCTTTAGGTATCATTTATTTGTTAAGCACTGCCTTATGCCCAACATCAAATCGTCACAGAGGTTGGTTCTTTTGAGTCTCTGTTATTCAACTTTGGTTTGGATCTATGAAATCAACCTTGCTCAATAGACTTAACTAATGGAGCTTTTATCTCCTGCTCATTTTTTGGTTCCCCCATTCGGTGAAGCAATTGGGTGGGTAAATTCTACACCCTCCTTCGTCGTTTGGGAAATTTAATGTTTGATCACAGTGGTTAGTTGAATTGGTGGCAGCTTGTACACTGTTCCTTGCCAAGAGTAAGTAACCTGCCTGCCACCATGAAATGCCCATTATAATAATAGCAAGAAAATCCCTAGGAGATGTAATGAGGGTCTGAACTTATGTGGTGGGTGTTCCCACGCACATGCCCTAGTATACCATGTCATGGTCTAGTTGACTAGGGTGTGTGCGTTGGAACACCCACCACATACATTCGAACCCTCATCATAGCTCCTACGGATTTTCTCATTGATGTAGTCACGTTAGTATGATTACTCTTGTGTATTGAAAGAGAAGCGCCAGAGGTAGAACATTCCTAGATGACAGAGCCAGAGTGCATGTGGATATTGTGTAAAAACCCTGTTCCAGCTTCAATAGAAGAAACAAGAAATCCTTGTGTGGTCAGTAGAACGCCAGGTTGCAATCCTTTTAATTAGTCGTGATTTGATTGGACCGTGGGCGTTGGAACACCTACCACATAGGTTTGAACCCTCATCACATGCTCCTATGAATTTTCTCATTGATGCAGTCACGTTAGTGTGATTACTCTGTATAATAATTATACTGGCATGGTTCATTCCTCTTCCTGTGCATCATATGATGTGATGACCAAACCATGCAAGAAGATGAAAAAACGACGACATTTCAGTCCATCCTGGACCATTATCAAGTTGTATGTCCAGGAGAGATCAAAACATTGTCGTTTTTTCATCTTCAAATTCAAATTCTTTATTCAGGAAAAGTAAATACATACTTGATTTACAAACAAAGTTGGATTTACAGATAGAGCTAGTACATACAATACCTAAAGCCACTAATACACATAGCGTTTTGGGCAAGTGTGGGTGGTGGTGGGTGAGTATTGCCCTACTGCTTCCACCTACAGCCAATAGAATCTTCTTGTCTATGGTTTAGTCATTATATCTTCAGCCATGTTATTGTAACGAAACCATCTGCATCATATAAAGTATCCTGTAGTGGTGGTGTTGCCCCAACATCTCTAGGCCTTGCTTTCCTTCTGTTCTGTTTCTTTACCTGAGGAGATGTGCCGCTACCTGCTTTCTTTCAAGCCATATTCTTTTCAGACATTAGGGTCTGTGACTTCTGGAGACGATCATCATTTGCGGTCACTGCCATCCAAATGTGCCTTTGTCACGACTGCACTGTATTGCCCTAGGCCACCTCTCCACCTTTTAACTGTTTTGGAATCTGGATTCCTGTGTTTTCTACACTGGAGCTCTATAACAGTTCATCATGATTGATTGCCCTATTTTTATGTCATAAAGAGTTTGCCATGGGTGCACCCAAAAAGCCTTAGGTTGGAAATGATGTGTTGTACATAGTAAAATGCTTTCTCCTGAGCCAAAGCCCGAGATGTTCCAATTTCTGTCCTTGTTGCCTCATCGTCTTCAAACGAGCTTAGGAAGTTTGCATTTCAAGCTGCTACTGCTAGCTCCTCTGACCCTGCTGTGGTGACATCTGGTGGCAGTCAGTGTGGCTTTCATCTAACAGTAGATGCAGAGTATTAATTGCTAGACGATACCTGTATTTCAAACTTTTGTTTGAAGAAGGTGTACAATTTGCATTTAATTTTTTCATATTGCAGCCATGTAGCTGGCATATTCGGTGATGGGTTGAATTAAGACTTGATATTGTCTCCTTCCTCTAGATGTGTGATTGAACCACTTACAAACATTCAGGTCATGAAGGGAATAAAACTTATGAAAGCCTGGTATGTGATAAATGTCCTAGTGGGATCGTGAATGCTACTGCTTTGGAACCATTCAATAGTATGCCTTGGAACGGAGCACTTCACCACGACAATACCCTATTCGTATATTATGTGATATTGCTTCAATATTTAAGGTATAATTTTACTTCGGTATGCTCAACACATTATGGATGCCTATATCAAGAAAACGTAACTTATTCCACCAATTCATTTGAGCGTCTTTTGTAACAACAAATCCTTCATAATTTGTCATTGTACATGTTTTTATATAATCAGTGAAACAAGCAATGGCTATCCAAAACCAGGAAATGCATATTCTTAGTAAGCTTTTGTCATACAAGGGATATCATGTACAAATAATTTGTGTGGGTGCAAACACTTCAAAAAGGTCTTTTGAATTACATTATGGTATACTCACATCCTCTGGAGACATAACTCCATACTGCCGGTGTTGATACTGGGGCTCAGCTGATGCCCTTTGGCAGTTTGTCCGCTGCTGCCCTGCCAGGTAGAAGCCATCCTCAGTCGTCGTCTTTTTATAAACGGGATTGTCAAAATTCATGCTGTGCACCGAGCGTTTGCGGAAGTAGCGGTAAATCATGTACGCCATCTGCAAACAGAAGATAGATACAGTACAAGGAAACACAATACAGCATTGAAACCTGGAATAAAAGCGAAATTCAAACTGAGATTCAAAATACTGAAAAATTAATTCTACAATGTCTTACAGCTCTGAATAAATCATAGATGGAACAAATCTACTATAAATTAATTAACAATTTCAACATTAGAAACACACATCTATGAGGACTATTCAAACATTTTTAAGCCATGCACATAACAAGGAATAAATCCACAGGAGCCTTGATCAGGTTTTGAACCTATGCGCCGAGTGTTCCCAGTCGTGCTCTAGTACCACTACATGGTCAAAAGAATTGCAACCTGGAGTACTGCTGCATCCACGAGGATCCTGAAGCCTCCACTGAAGTCTAACTGGGGTTTCACACAATTCCCCCCTTGCACTCGGGCTCTGTCAACCAGTAGTCATACCTCTGACGCTCCTACTTCAACACACGGAGAAATCACATTACCGTGATATGTCAAAGAGCAAATCCACAGGAGCCTTAATGAGGGTTCGAACCTGTGGGCTCAACATGCATACGTCCGTGCATCTCTTGGTTTGAGTATGAATATGAAAGAGCTGTGGTAACAGAGGGCAGCAACTGCACAAGTAGACAGGGTCATAAACACCTTACAAGGGATGTTAAATATTATATGGTTGAGAGAGAGGTAAGTATAAGGGGTACCTGCTTGATACCTGGTTGATGGGGGTTCTGGGAGTTTTTCTACTCCCCAAGCCCAGCCCGAGGCCAGGCTTGACTGGTGAGTTTGGTCCACCAGGCTGTTGCTTGGAGCGGCCCGCAGGCCCACATACCCACCACAGCCCGGTTGGTCCAGCACTGCTTTAAGAAAACTATCTTAGTTTTCTCTTGAAGATGTCCACGGTTGTTTCTGCAATTTTTCTTATGCTCACTGGGAGGATGTTGAACAACCGTGGACCTCTGATGTTTATACAGTGTTCTCTGATTGTGCTTATGGCACCTTTGCTCTTCACTGGTTTTATTCTGCATTTTCTTCCATATCGTTCACACCAGTATGTTGATATTTTACTGTGTAGATTTGGGACCTGGACCTCCAGTATTTTCCCACGTGTATATTAATTGATCTCTCTCGTCTTCTTTCTAGCGAGTACATTAGGAGAGCTTTGAGACGATTCCAATAATTTAGGTGCTTTATCGCGTCTATGTATGCCGTATATAGAGGGAAGGAAAAAATATAGATATTGTACATAGACAAAGTGAAGAGAGACAAAGACTGTGTGTATATGTTTGTACACGCGCTTGCTTTTGAAGCAACTTACAGCTGAAGCGATGCAAAGGACACCTAATGCAGCCAGGATAGCTGCCACTGCTACATTGCCATCCTCCCCCTCACTTGGACTTTCAACCTGCGCCGGGACTTGCTTCATCTCTGGTGCCATGGTGCTGCTTACTTCGTCTGCAACAGAACAGGAACATGCCAATGACCCATTATAGCAAACTTAATAATATTTGTGATAACGACTATACAACACAATGTATACAAATTCATACTGGCTTCTTGAATCAATGTATTACGTTAAAAATTTTTGCAATCATATTTGCATTCTGCAGGAAAAATCTATACGATCCATGTATTGCAACACAATACAAGCAATACAGGAAGAAAGCATTTTCTGAAATGCATTAATTAATTTTGTCAGGGGCAGGAAGCCTGTGTGTGTATATATATATATATATACTTTAGGCTTGTATCAAGGCCACCCCCTCCCCCTATCCAGGTCGACCTGTTGACCTTTCCCAGGATGGAGCCCCACCACAGTTTCCTAACTCCTAGACACCTATTTACTGCTAGGTGAATAACGGCATTAGGTCAAAGGGGAAAAGTGGCCAACTATTCCTGTCCCGCCCAAAATTCAAACTCGGGATTCTCAATTACGAGTCATACGCGAACCCAAATGTACCACCGAGACTAAGACCTACTTCAAATAACTGATAAAAAAAATCAAACACAGAATCTAAGAACATCTACTTCTGAAGCTCATCTTTTAACATAGCCTTAAAACATAATAGTACTGTACAGGTACACGTGGCCACAGTAGAATAGGTGTACAAAATACAGACTGATGCACACACAAAAAAAAATTCCGAATTTCAAACTAATGACTCGTAAAGGGGGAACAAGATATCACTGCATACAAATTCTATTTGCTCTGTCAGATCATATAAAGATTATTTTGGTTATTTGTGACAATAAGAATGGAACACAACATTGCTTCAAGCAGTATAGTGCGAGTTGAGGCTAAAGTTAAGTTGAAGTTTCACTGATGATTAAATAGCGGTTGAGATGGTTTCATCTTCAAAATAGTTGAATGGCGAGCCCCAGTGCTTCTTAATGTAATTACCTAAGTGTAGTTACATTTATCAACACTGGGACTCTCACATCAGGTAGCACTGGGACACACTCCCATTAAGAGACTTAATTCAAACCGACTTGCAAACCATTCAATGACTACAGGCCAAGCTGAGAGTAGTACAAATCTCTTCAATGAACACTTAACTGCCCTGTGAAATCTGCCCTTGCAAATGTTAAAATCTCTTCAATGAACACTTAACTGCCCTTGCAAATGTTAAGCTCACTGGACAATCTACTCGTGATTTCCTTTAATAGTTGTATAATAAGACGAGTGAAGAGTTAATGGTTCTACAAGCACCCGAAGATATAATTAATTATATCCTCGAAGCTGGCAAAACCACTAACTCTCCACTAGAGCACCACATCATCGTGCTCTGGTGCCAGCAGGGCTTAAAAGTCAACACACCATCACTCGAAGTAGCCACATTCCACACGGACATATATACATCATACATCTAGATATATATCACAATTCTCCATGGTCACACTCGAGGCTATACCACATCTATGTACAACCTGTATACACACAAAATATGTATATAGATACACCTTCTACACACATCTTGGTTATCTTGAGATGATTTCGGGGCTTTAGTGTCCCCGCGGCCCGGTCCTCGACCAGGCCTCCACCCCCAGGAAGCAGCCTGTGACAGCTGACTAACTCCCAGGTACCTATTTACTGCTAGGTAACAGGGGCATTCAGGGTGAAAGAAACTTAGCCCATTTGTTTCTGCCTCGTGCGGGAATCGAACCCGCGCCACAGAATCACGAGTCCTGCGCGCTATCCACCAGGCTACGAGGACCCCATACTGTACATGTGCTAGCTGAATAAATCCCAGGTTACCATGTCTATGAAGCTGTCAGTGCTGCTATAAATTCCCTGACTTTGGAAATGCTCTGGAATAATATTTTCTTTTTAAATCAAATGTAATAAAAACGCACCTTATTAATAAAGTATGTGGTAGGATGCAGCTCACATTAATCATAACAAAAATAACCAGCAAATCTATAAAACAACAGGGTGAATATAAAAAAAAAACAGCAAATCAATTCAGTATATATTTACTACAGGTCTTATGCAACTGAAACACGACCTTGAGGTGACCTTGAGGTGCTTCCGGGGCTTAGCGTCCCCGCGGCCCGGTCGTCGACCAGGCTTCCTGGTTGCTGGACTAATCAACCAGGCTGTTGGACGCGGCTGCTCGCAGCCTGACGTATGAGTCACAGCCTGGTTGATCAGGTATCCTTTGGAGGTGCTTATCCAGTTCTCTCTTGGATGAGAAGCGCGGGTTGGACATGTATATGAGTGGGTTTGGGTGGTTAATAAATAGGAGCTGCCTCGTATGGGGCCAATAGGCCTTCTGCAGTTACCTTTGTTCTTATGTTCTTGAACACTGTGAGGGGTCGTCCAGTTATGCCCCTTATGTGTAGTACTAATTCAAACTTTTGTTTCAACTTTTGTAAAGTACTGGTCTCGAGTTAATAACTTAACAATTTAGTAAAATGTTGAAGTATACGCAAATGTTGTGGTTACTCAACGTCAAATTGTTTATTTTGCTCAATAATAGAACAGCATCTAGATATTCTTACGTAAACAAGAAGGCAGGAAGATTCAAATCAAGAAACAAGAACGCCCCCTTCCCTCCCCCCCCACCCCCCGAAAAAAAGTTTCTTTCTCGAAGCATTTTATAAAAGTCCAAGAAACGTTTACCCCAGTAATTTATCAAGTCCATTACACGTCTTGATAATGGTCCAGGTCGGACAGAAACGTCATCAATTCTTCAATTTCAGATGTGTGGGGTTGGTGTCTAAATCTTCAACTGCGGCAACCAGGAGGCCTGGTCGACGACCGGGCCGCGGGGACGCTAAGCCCCGGAAGCACCTCAAGGTAACCTCAAGGTACGTGATAGTGACTCATCCAGAGTCACTTCAACCCGTCCTCGTAATAGACCGTCGCATTCTGACGTATACTTTAAGGTCACCAATCGTCGTACTAGGAAATGGAAGCGAAATGGCTTGCGAAATAGGACATATTGTCCTCGGTATAGGTTAGGATAAGGGCACCTTAGTACGACAGTTTCTCGACGCTGAGAAACCTTAGAAGGACGAGCTGCACAATAACGCCTCTGCATCTAGAGGCGCACACTTGGCCCAGCTTAATAAATTAGTCTTAATCCGGATTCGTCCATTAAAATGACCATCATTGTTGACCTTTTGAAGACGGAAAAACACGAGAGGAAGCGAACTTGACACACATTCCACACCCTTGTCAGTCCATCCCACATCCACAACAATGGGGAGGCCGGGGGAGAAGTGTGGGAGGACGGGGAGAAGTGTGGGAGGACGGGGAGAAGTGTGGGAGGCCGGGGGAGAAGTGTGGGAGGCCGGTGGGGAAGTGTGGGAGGCCGGGGGAGAAGTGTGGGAGGCCGGGGGAGAAGTGTGGGAGGCCGGTGGGGAAGTGTGGGAGGCCGGGGGAGAAGTGTGGGAGGCCGGGGGAGAAGTGTGGGAGGCCGGGGGAGAAGTGTGGGAGGCCGGGGGAGAAGTGTGGGAGGCCGGGGGAGAAGTGTGGGAGGACGGGGGAGAAGTGTGGGAGGACGGGGGAGAAGTGTGGGAGGACGGGGGAGAAGTGTGGGAGGACGGGGGGAAGTGTGGGAGGCCGGGGGAGAAGTGTGGGAGGCCGGGGGAGAAGTGTGGGAGGCCAGGGGAGAAGTGTGGGAGGCCGGGGGAGAAGTGTGGGAGGCCGGGGGAGAAGTGTGGGAGGCCGGGGGAGAAGTGTGGGAGGCCGGGGGAGAAGTGTGGGAGGCCGGGGGAGAAGTGTGGGAGGCCGGGGGAGAAGTGTGGGAGGCCGGGGGAGAAGTGTGGGAGGCCGGGGGAGAAGTGTGGGAGGCCGGGGGAGAAGTGTGGGAGGCCGGGGGAGAAGTGTGGGAGGCCGGGGAGGAAGGTAATAAGGGAGGAGAAAATCCACACTTCACCTGACATAAGAACGCAACGCCACCATTGTGACAAGACACCGGGGTTTCTACAAGAGTACACATCAGATACAAGAAAGACACTAAGCAACCCCACCAGGTCCATTCTGGTTGCTACTGCATTAAAAATGGTTTTCCAGAGGAGCCATGTGATCAATTCATTAAATTATCGAACCTAATTTACAGTTGGTAAGGTCAATTTACAATTGATAAGGTCAATTTACAATTGATAAAGATTAAGTCACCCAAAAGGTGACACGGGCATGAATAGCCCCTAGAGTAAGGTCGCAAACAATAGTACTATGGTAGCGTCTCTATCTGTAAGAGAGTGATACTTTTTTCAGCCAAACTTTCACACCCATAGTGACAGATTGCTGTTGACAGTATGTACAAAGATTATCTTTATCCCAGGTTGGAGTACCGTCGTGTCCAGTGTTCCTAGACGGGTAATCTTATTTGCAATTCAGATAAAGTATGAAGGAAGACGCACGACGTCCGTGTATGCGAAGAGAGATGACAAGAGGCTTATACCTCTCATTATACTACATGAGAGCAACGCCGCCATCTTGTTCAGCGGTCGTGGTGGTAAGCGCAGGTGAGGTCGCAGCTTGAGGTGATCAGGTCATGGTGAGGTCACCATGACCTGATCAGAGAGACCTGTGATATCAGGTCAAGGTGACTTCACTCACCCAAGCTGGGACGGGCTGCACTCCCGATGACGTCACGGGAAGCCAAGATTGAACCAATCACATGGTAAGCAAAAGGAGTCGCTACATATTGATTGGTGTGTCTATGTAGAGGTTCCGTGAAAAAAAACTAGCGAGATATGAACTAGGGGGACTACACGTCAAACTCAAATGCTGTTTATACAAATTAAGTACCGATCATTCCCTTGAGCTTCCGCGGCCATCCGTTAAAACAGCAGTGGTGCCAGGTATTCGGGAAGCTTGTCGGTTGATAAAGATTAAGCCACCCAAGAGGTGGCACGAGCATGAATAGCCCGTAAATGGAAGCTTGTCGTATATTACGGACAAATATATATCTGTCGTCACCATTGAAGGGATACTGTACCAC